GTAGAGTGAATCCTTTCCTTGAAAGGACTTCTTGGTTAGTAAGTGACTTCTGAACTAACCAAAACAAAGAGCAGGAGCCTGGCTCTCCTCCATGGCCTTCCCTTCCACCTGGATGGACCACACAGCATGGCAACCCGGCTCCTGGCTCCTCTCTCACTGGAGATTGAGATGGATTTAGAAGGAGAAACTGCCTCTTGAAAAGTGATGACAGGCCAAGCACAGTGGTTCACGCCTGTAATCCCAGCATTTTGGGAGGCCAAGGTGGGTAGATCATCTGAGGTCAAGAGTTCGAAACCAGCCTGACCAACATGGTGAAAACCCACCTCTCCTACAAATACAAAAATTAGTTGGGCGTGGTGGCGCATGGCACATGCCTGTAATCCCAGCTACTCAAGAGGCTGAGGCAGGAGAATCACTTGAACCCGGGAGGCGGAGGTTGCAGTGAGCCCACGTCACACCATTGCACTCCAGCCTGGGCAACAGAGAGACTCCATCTCAAAAACAAACAAGAAAAACAAAAGTGATGCCAGCCCCGACCCCGCTAGACCCCTTTCATCCGCCCCTAGTCTCTGCCTCTGGCTAAAGAGAGGCTCACCACTACACCCCACTGCCACATATCTTCAGGAAAAGGATTACCTAATTCCTGGACAGTCGAGAATGCCTAACCAAACAACAAAAACCCTGGAGCATGTCCTCAGCTTTGCAGCAGTGGTGGGAGAGGAGCAGCAGCACCCGGGCTTCACAGGCAGCCCAGTTTGAAGAACTCAACCCTCTCCTGTTGCTTCCTGTGAGAAGCACTTCACAAAAGCACCAACAATGGAAGGCTGAGACCTTTTTCCAACACATGGAAAGCACTGTGAGAGCCAGGGTGTTTCAGCATGAGTCAGTCTACATCTAGTACAGGTTAAGATAATAAACAAAGCTCATAACAAGAAGACGACTGTTCATTTCTCAATGTTGCTGTAACATATTACCATGAGCTTGGTGACTTAAGATAACCCAACTTTATGATCTCACAGTTCTGAGAGAAAGATTCCTAAAATGGGTCTTACTGGGCTAAAAATAAAAGCAAATCTGTATTCCTTCTGGTAGCTCCACGGGAGGATTCATTTCTTTGCTTTTTCCAGCTTCTAGAGGCTGCCTGCGTTCCTGGTCTTGGGTCCCTCCTCCTTGTCAAATCCAGCAGGCACAGTTCTCTGAGGACTTCCATTATCACATCTTCCCTGCTTCCATTATCACATCTTCCCTGGCTCTCCTGCTTCCCTCTTTCACTCTAGAAGAATCTTTGTGATTACATTGGATCCATGTGGCTACACCAAAATAATCTATCCGCTTAAAATTGTTAATTACATCTCCAAAGTCCATTTGCCACAAAAAGTAACATATTCATATGTGCTGGGGATTAGGTCGTGGCCATGGTGGGGGGACGTTATTCTGCCTACTGTAAATACCATAATCATTTGTGAAAATGAACCAAGATGGCAGCAAGAGAAACTCCACAGAGAAGCCTATTGTTAGTTTATTAATGAACATGGTGTTGGTTGCCAGAGGAAAACCATAAGCTTCCAAGCACCGCTGGAGAAATAACATCAGTTGCTTCCAACCAATCAGTGTTAGATGAATCCAGGCACATGCCCCACCTCAGCCTGACCTGAGAATAGGGTAAATGGGACATATGTCAGAGGCTCAGGAGTCCCTAAAAAATTTTCAAATAGAGTTTCTTTTTAAAATGTCTGAACACCTTTTATTGCACATAAAATCTACCTTAAAGTGGACAAGATGGGAACCAAACATTGAAATCTGTGAGTTGAATAAATCCAGTGAAGAGTGTTGGTTTCAGCCAGAAATCAGTATAAATCATGAAAATAAGTGGATTTTAAATTCCTGGTCAAGGCTGGGCACAGTAGCTCATGCCTGTAATCCCAATAGTTCGAGAAGGTTTTGAACCCAGGAGTTCCAAACCACACTGAGCAACATAGCAAGACTTCGTCTCTACAATCAGTCAGTCAATCAATTCCTGGTCAATGTGACATGGGTATTCAACTCTTAAACCCCAACAGAAATGATGACCTAGAAATAGGTGCTGGTTGGGGGTGGTGGCTCACACCTATAATCCCAGCACTTTGGGAGGCCGAGGTGGGTGGATCACCTGAGGTTGGTAGCTCGAGACCAGCCTGGCCGACATGGCAAAACCCCGTCTCTACTAAAAATACAAAAATTAGCCAGGCATGGTGGTGCGCACCTGTAATCCCAGCTACTTGGGAGGCTGAGGCAGGAGAATCGCTTGAACCCAGGAGGTGGAGGTTGCAGGGAGCCAAGGTGGCACCATTGCACTCCAGCCTGGTGACAGAGTAAGACTCCATCTCAAAAAAAGAAAAGAAGAAGACTAATAACTAAAAATAGGTGTTGTTCCACTGTGAGCTGCATAGAGCAGGTGTATGCAAACCTAGCCTCAAAGGCCAAAGGAGCTAAGAGGCTGAAGAAAGAAGTCGACAAAACTAAGTTTCTCAAAAATAAATATGTAATAGAGAAACAAACAGAAGTAGCTCATACCTCAGGCAGCCATAGTAGGTTTCTGAGCCTGCACTTCAGAATGTATTGTGTTGTTTTGTGTGTTGTGTTTTGTTTTGTTTAGGGACTGAATCTCACTCTGTCACTGTGTCACCCAGACTGGAATGCAGTGGCATGATCATAGCTCACTGTAGCCTCCAACTCCTGGGCTCAAGTGATCCTCCTGCCTTAGCCTCCCAAGTAGCTGGGACTACAAGTGC